CAAATGAATGGCTGTGGAATGACAGCTTGCCCTGTGCCAGGGTGGTGAGATAAGGGGTGTCAGAACTGATCAGAAAATGGAAAACTGATGTAATAGGGTGTGAGTACTTCTGCACCTGCCCCCCCTCCAAAAAGAAACGGGTGGTTTGGAGTCTCTTGGAGCTCTTGGGCGAGCTGCTAGGAAGATGGGTTATTAAACAGCATAGGCAACAAGGTCAATGTAGCCAATGGAGAGTGCATTATATGGCATTGTTCTCTGTGAGATACCTAACGTGTGTCCATGGGTGCAAAGGTTTCTGATGTGTGCAGTTGTAATCCTACAATTTCTAGTTACAGCTCTGAACAGTATTTGATGCGTAAGAATTTAACTGTGTTAAAAGACTTGAAGTTATAAGAGCAAAGGTATTTTGTGCAGGTCTTGCTATCAATATTATTTTTACTGCATGACTTAAATACTGCTGCTACCTCTGTTTCTGCAAGTTGGTTTAAAAACCAGTGGGGGACGTGGTAATTGAAATTTAAACAGTGAAAAGTTGCAGTTCTGTCATGGCAATTGCTCATTGTTTTGTCTTGGTCCTCTGACATCATTGTCCTTGTCTTTTTCTTGTCTCTGCTTTCCCATTATGACATTGGCAAGGAGTTGAGAAGTTAGTCCATTACTTCTGTGATAAAGCGTGGTACAGTACAACTTCAGATTTCTTCCCATCTCCTCCTCACGCATTTTCACTGTTGTGGTTTTGGCTTTCTGTTTGGTTTATTTTTTTGGTTTGGTTTGGTTTTCCTCTATGCATGATGCATGTCTATCAGAGATGTGCATGCAGTTCTCAGACCAGTCATTGCTTCACTTCCCTCATTCCTCAAAATACTGCAGGGAGGAAATGCCTTTATCTTATTCTACAGAGGTGTTATATAGGGAATTGAGATGAGGATTGAGGTTAGAGATACAGAACAACAAAAGCAAAACTAAAAGCAATTTTAAAGTAGTGATACTGCAATATTACTATCATTACCATGTAGATCTAAATTCTTGATTGATATAACATACTTGCCTTGGCTTCCAACAGAGAGCTTATACAATCTCAGGGGTTCAGTAACTGTGTAGTAGTACTAATCCTCTTCATGGATATGTTGTCATTTTTCTGTGGATGATATAATAGCTGGTTTTACTCAAGAGAAATAAGAGGAAAAATCCCTTAAGCTAAAGTGGTAGGGACTGTAATTAAGTGATTTTGACAGGGCCATTGATACATGCAGTCTTTGAAGCTCTTGCTGGTACAGAAGCTCCTTTGTTGTGCAGAAAGGAGCATGTGCACAAAGCATTTTGTCCAGTGTACTGTCAATCTGGGGGGAACTAATTTTCTTCAGTTATGTTGTACTCTAAATATTTTAGAGCCCACCTTTACATGTTAGGTGCAGCTTTACATTTTTTCACCAAACACTAGGCATCCTGTTGTCTGGGGGGTTTTTTTTGACTAATAACACAGCTGTGTCTTTCTTAGTAAAAGAAGAACTCGTGTCTAAGGCAAAGATGTAAGCTGTGGGTGGAGGTAATGCAGTTTTCAGTGTTAGATACCTTGTGAACTGTTACTTAGATATTTTTGGAAGTGGTGTTTTCCTGCTTTCAGTGTCATCTTCACTAATGCACGTAGCAGTCAGAAGAGATTAAAATCTGTAATTGTGATAATTGGACAGACTTTGACCAAGTGAAAATACAAAACTAGGAAACGGTCCAGTATTTAAAACAACTTAGCAAAGAAGATACCAGAGCTGTAGTGTTCTCATAATTCTGAGCATGTAGATGTTTTTTCTGCCTTTGAATTGCTAAGGATTTTTTTATATCAAGCTGCTTAGACCTTTGTACGTTATGAAGCGTAATGAGGAAAATATAAATTTGGCTATTTTTATGTGTAAAAATGCAAAATCTTCCAAATGGAAAAGCTCAAATATTACCAAGTTTTTGTCAAAAGAACTTGAAATAGCATTATCAAAAACTTGCTGCTTTGCTGTATGGTTCAGATGCTTTTACATTTAACTCTGCTTTCCATTCAAATTTAGTTTCTCCTGTGACATAATTTTTTTGTTATTTATTTTCCTGATTCGTAAAACTAGGATTGTTTCCTATCAAGTTAAGAGTTTGTAATGCTCAGATTAGATATTCATCTGCATTTTGAAGACTGGCATTAAGAAATCCTTTCTGGGTGAGGGTAAAAAGTTTTCTGACAATTATTTTGCCACATTAGAATTTGACACAGTTGATTCGTATAACTAGGATTTTTTCCTATAGAGTTTGTAATGCTCAGATTAGATATTCATCTGCATTTTGAAGACTGGCATTAAGAAATCCTTTCTGGGTGAGGGTAAAAAGTTTTCTGACAATTATTTTGCCACATTAGAATTTGACACAGTGTTGTTTGCTGTAATTGTGCTTATTTTTTACTTCAAGTAGGAGGAGAAAAATTGAATTTTTTGTTTGAAGCATTCATATGGGCATCAGGTATATATTGCTGTGATTTCTGCACTCACTTTTAGCAGTTTTGTTTTTGCAGGTGAGGTCTCAAATCAGTACAACATTTTGGCTAATATCTGTCAGCTCCTAAGCTGGAAGGATAATGACTTCTGTAAACCATTACATAAAGATTGAAAAATGACAAAAATATCTGGAGGATTCTTTTTTTAAGCTGTAACTCTCTTAATACACAGAATTATTGTTTAGTAATTCCTTCCCATAGGATTGCTTGGTCACAAAGGATTCACTGAGTTAAGCTAGTTTTGGTCACCCAAGGATTAATGTTTTGATAGTCATTTGACACCTTTTTGAAGTTTTTCTTCTCCTCCTCCCTCTTTCCGAAACAACTGTATTCAGTATGTATATTCTAAAGGGAAAAACTGCCAGTAAATCAAAAATAGGTAGAGAAACTTTGATGTTTCTCTTATTACCATTAGATTTTTTTTCTTGGTGAGGAATTTTGAGGTTTCAGTTTTCAGTAGTAACCCTGCCAGCGAAAAGATGGAAAGCTTAAAGCACCCTGAGCTATGCTATTGTCCTACAAATGGAAAGGACTTTGGCATGCAGCTACTGCTGCATTCTTCCTGCTCATTCTAAGAAGAGCTAAGAAGACCAGGTAAATGTTTGTGATTCTTATTGAGAAGCTGTGAATTACTAAGAGTGGCTGAAGTGACATTTTTCATCAAACCTCTTAAGACAAATATTGCTGCTTCTTTACTCACTACATTTCACTAGTCAACAAATTATTGTAAGCATGTTCTCTGTGTACATGCAGTGTATCAGCTGATAAGAATTGAAGTAGTTTAGGGATAAGATTAGCTTGTAGTAGTTCCATTCCTCTCCTTTATAAAGAAAATTATAAAGTCATCCAAAACTAAAACTTGCTGAAGCTATAGTTTGAGTTACAATAGGTTTTGGGTTTTACCGTGAACTGCAGAATTTTTAATAGTTCTTCCAGGATCTGTATATAAGTTGCAGGTCTGTTTGTGAAGCTAACAAACACATTAATCTTTAAAGTCTTTTTACAGGGAAGAGCAAAGAGAAAATAGAAATGACCCAGGAGAGGTACCGGCAGTTCTCTTGTCTGTTACATGCCTGATTAGATTGTATCTTCTGATGAAATGTGAAATCTTCATTAAGTTATCTTTATCACTCAGTTATCAGTCTAGTAGTATGTGATCTCTAGCTTCACATGTACTCTGTTGTACTGTGTTGGTGAAGGTGATTTCTTTATCAGCCCATTTGCAATCCATTCAAGATAAAACAGCCGCCTAAGTCCAGTCAGTACCCTAATTACAACGTACCTGTATCAAATCTCCTGACCTCAGTAAGGCAAGGAAAAGACACTGTAATACCTCTGGTGTAGTAAACTCCTTTCTTGCCTGTCCATGTGGAATGTTGATAAAAGATCTAGGAGAGTAAACTTAAGTCTGCAGTGAATAGAAATTGAAAGATGGATATAGTCTGATAGGTGTTGCATTTGTTTATTAAGCACTTCAGCCAGAATTGATCAGTACTCTTGTATCATTCTTAGGCTGTACTGCAGATACAGGTGAAACCATCAGCCATGCCTCTTCCATGTTTTGTTTTTTAAGCTCATTGGTTTCTTTTTTTGTCCTTATGTTGCTGTGTATTTCAGTGCTGGTATAATTTTTTTTCCACTTCGGTTTCAAGTCACATTTGTACACATCCCATGAACCATCCTGTTTTGCAAAGTCAAAGTTTTGATTTTAAAAAAATAGATCAACAGCCTTTATCAAGCATCCAGTCAGCGCACCTTGGATTCAGAATGTTACTTGATGTTTTCTTTGCCTAATATATTATTATATTCTTTTCTCTTTAACAGCCTCAAGTACTACAGCCTTCCAGCAGCCTTCCCAGTTCCACAGACCTCGCCCAGGGAAAACTAATAAAAATGCCACATATCGAGGCCCACAGTGAATCCCCTAAAAATGATCTGCATGAAAATAGCAATCAGAATCAAAATGCTGCAAATTCTCTCCTAAATAGCTCGAATCAAGTAAACTCTTTCATGAGCATACAGTTAAAAGTAAAAGATGAGAATGCGTCACATTTGGAAAATTTGAGAAATACAAATGCTGAAGACCCTGGAGAGGTGACCGATAGTAAAGAGAGTCCCTTAGCGTCTCGTTCCTCTTCTCAGACCTCTACACGAGCTCATGCTAGAGAGGTTCAGACTGAACTAGGTGTGAAAGGTCAACCCTTAGTCACAAACCAGGCTCCTCGGCCAAAGACTTTAAGAATTGCAAAGCCCCCCAATGCTTTAGTGCCTCCTACGATGGCCGTTCTCGCACGATCTGCAAATCATTCCACTGCTTCCAAGGAACATGAGCTTCTACCACTGAGTAGCTCGACTCAGCTGCAGCCAACATCTGGCCAGGATAACCTAAAGGGTAAACAGAGTCAGAAAGTATCTAAACTTCGCCCTCCAACGACGTCCTTTGTTAAAGCAAAGCAAATGAGCAGTCAGAAGTCCACGCCAGTACCTCCAGAGCCTCAAAACACCTGCTTGAAGACGAACATCCCAAAGCCACCGGTACAGAGAAAGGAACCCATGCCACCACAGAATGCCACTTTGCATTCTGGGGATGGTTTGCCCTCTAACAGGCATTCCCGCCTCCCTAAACCAAAGACACATTGAAAGCCTACCTACATCTCATTGGATGATGCCATACCTTAAACTGCTTCCCATGTTTTGACTGCCTTGGAGGTTCCTTCACCTACAGCCTGCAAATCCAGAGTGAATAATAAGCATAGCACTTTCCTTGAGCATTTGTATACTCCATCCTGTATGTTTTGAGGCTCACGTTATGAGCTGTGCAGCTTCTCTTGTGTTAAAGATTGTATTGCCCAGTGATCTTGGTAATTAAGCAAATATGGAAGTCTGTGGTGATCGTGAAAACCAGAATGCTGCACTAAATATTTCAGGATGGCAGAAATAATTTATTACCTCTATTTGAGTTATTAGACAATGAAATTACTATTCGGTTTAATTTCTTGGTTCTGAGTACTTATTAGGTTAGAGTGGTGGAAAATTAGACTTCCTAGCAGATGTTTTATTGGCCATAATTCTGACTCTCTATACCAGAGGCCTATGCAAATATCCTTGTATTTATCATTATCTCAAGACTGACATATTTAATGTTATTTAATCTGAGGGGTTGGGTGGGTTTTGTTGTTTTGTTTTGCTGTAATCTAAAGTTGTGCTGTTCTTTATCCTTTTCACTGTTCACAGACAATAAGATTTCACAGGGTGAAACGAATCTTCTCTGAAACAGGATTTGTTAAATTATTAATGTTTTTATTATGTTGACTAGACACGTTACTGGGTAGGTTCTTAAAAAGCAGTGCTAAGGATACTTGTGCAAAGCTTTCCAATACAGGCTCTTCTGAATTGGTAAGTAGGGAGCCTCTGGGAATAAGGGGTCTGTAACACCTATGTTGAGGTGGCACAACCTGCATTTTAATGAATATTTTTTTAACTTTTATTGTACTACTTGTATTTATTAATTTCTGTTTAATATTGGAAGACTCTGAAGTACCTGACTTGAAATTTTGCACAAACTTTGCCATATGTGTAAGGATTTGAAACTATCTTCTGGAATAAAACTTGTATTAAAAAAAAAACCAACCTATTTTTTAAAAATAATGAGTTAACCCCACTTATTTGCTTCGAGCAATCCTATTATGTCCTAATCCAGAGCTGGTACTCTTTAAGAGGTTTTCAGAGATATGTAGTTTGATTTGGGTCTTTTTGTAATTTTTTTTTTTGGTAATTTCTAAAGAAGTTCATGATAACTGGGAAGGAGCTTTTTGGGGAAATAAAGGAAAAGAAAACACACACAAAAAAAAAACCCCAAACAAACAATGTTTTACTGCTCTGTAGGAGAATTATTTTTCTGAAACTGGTCTGGAAATATATGCCCATCATGGTGCAACTATGGGACCATGGCACGTGTGTTGTGAGTTACATACATGCATACCCATTGAAGCTTTCCAGAAACTTCATGTTGTGTCCCATCTCCAGTTCTTCCCTTTGTTGCCATCACTGTCTCTTGAATGTTACCAATTATGGTGGAGTTTTTTTGTTCTTGAATTGGCTTTAAAATCAGCAGAAGGCTGTTACAATGACTGCTCAAAATGTGTTCCTGAACAGCATAAAATGAAACAGTAATGGTTTGTTCTAGGCTTTGGCTCTAGGACATATTACAGTATTTTCTTTGAGATAATTGAAGTGAATAGGTGTACACATTTCATAAGTAAGTTCATTAATCAAACTGTAATATAAGCCCTATAACAAGAGGTATTCTGATAGATACTTTAGTCGAATGGGAGAAAGGGGAAAAAAAATAATCTCACCTGAATTTCTCAGTATGTAATATCTGGGAAAGTTTTTGGATTTGCCACACTGTTCTTTTTAACTGACAATGAAGTGGGAAAATGAAAGGCTGGGGGGAGAAATGGGTAGGGGGGATGTTCTGTCTCAGAATTGCTTGTATCAATCTGAAGTAAGAGACCTGCAGGAAGTTCTTTTTAACTGACAATGAAGTGGAAAAATGAAAGGCTGGGGGGGGAAATGGGTAGGGGGGGTGTTCTGTCTCAGAATTGCTTATATCAATCTGAAGTAAGAGACCTGCAGGGTTGTTAAGTGAGGTGAAGACAATGTATGCAAAAAGTAACAGAGGTAACATTAATTATTGCAGTTGATATAGGATCAAAATAAGGACTATTGAAGATTGCTGTAACAGTTATTCTCCCAGAAAAAGTCTTCCTTTCCTTGAAAAGCATTGAATTAGATGGCCTTCAATGGAAGCATTTACTTTCAATAAGAAAACAAAACTGACTCTTTGTATTCCCCAAAACTAGCTCCTGGCAGCTAACTTTCTCAGGAGTTTAAAAACTGCTGAGGCAATGATCAGATTCCTGGTTCATTTTCTGGTCCATATGGATTTCAATGGAAGGTGTTTTTCTTTTTGTTAAGTTTACTTTCCTTGAAGAGAAGCTGATTTTTTTGTTGTTGTTGTATATGATTTTGTGTTAAAAAGATGATTTTCACTTATTACTATTGACAGAGATACTTCACCATCAGTTCTTTTGCTTCTTATTCTGGAGGTGTCACCAGACTGATTTAGTGATGTTAAAATTTGTTTACATTTAGAAGTTTAGTTTCCTATCTATCTGCACCTTTACTGAAAATTAAGCAATGAAACAAAGATGATCAGAGTTGTCATTTAAAAAAACCAGTTGTTCTGATTTTTTTTTTTTCCAGAACAACAAAAATATATTTATTCTGTGGGAGTTTTTCTCTGTGCTAAAGGAGCATAAGTAGGTTATATTCTTTGTTACAGCATTTCCCCATTTTCCTCTGACAGTTTAGTGAGACATTTTGCTGGAGACAGCAGGACTTGATGAGGGATGAGAGATGCTAGCCTGAACAGTATTTGTGTTCAGCTGATAACCTTGCACCCCTCTAGGGACAACCACATATTTTGGCTCTTCAGACTTTACCAGGGAAGGCTCTATGGCACGTATAGCAAGTCCAGAGTACGAGCAAAGCCTGTCAGTAGATGGGCAGCTGGGAGAGACGTCGAGAAGTGAAGTTTGAAGCTTCACTTCAGTGAAGGACAAGGGCTGGGGGGAGAAGGATAAGAGGGCACTGTGTAGAGCTTGTCAAATGGGATTAAGCATGTACTTTCAGGTGACCTATCTACCTTGTGGAAGGTGCAGATATATCATCAGTACTGGTGCAGATTATCCTAAATCCATAAATTTAAAGGATTTGATATCTTCAGGGTTTTGTTGTTTTCTAAAACTGGTTTCTTGCCATTTTTTGTTCTTGATTTCTCATTCTTTTGTGCAATATTCACAGAAGTATTAAACTACTGTTCAGTATGTGTGTACAGAGGCAATTACGCATTTTAACAAGTGAATAAACAGAAAAGAGAAAAAAAAAAAAAACAGAATTGCACTTTAAATGAGCTTTATTGCTTGGAGTTGTGCCTAAAATAATCTAGATGCCTCCTGCTGTGTGCGGCTTTTGTTTGGAAACTAATTTCCCTGCTAGTGTTGCCGTTTCCAAGGTATCTTCACATCACTTTCACGGAACTGATATGCACTCTAGCATGTTTAGAGATATTCATGCAGTGTACTGAGTTTTCGTTGTGCAATGACTTTAATTTAACAGTGGAATTTTAACACTGATGATGCTGCCAGATTATTCCCTTCCCCGAAGCTGGCGCTTCCTACTGCCAATCAAGGCTGATGGCAAAACTTCCCTACGACTAGCTTGGCTCTTGAAGAATAATGTTCCTGGCATATGTTTTTGTTTAAGAGAAGTGCAATATTATCTCTTCAACTTTCTTGAAATAACCACAAAGGCCCTGAAAATCCTAAACGGCACTGAATTTTCCATATAGTTTCAAAGAGAGTGAGTTCCTCAACTTCACAGCTCGTAGCAATGAGACTAGACATAGCGACTAGACTGCATCATAGGTCAGTAAAGTTCATTTCATCCTTGATCCCAATGCTGATATGTTGTAATTATGCTAGAAAATTGAATACCATTTGTGTGATTTACTTTGCATGTCACAACCATATGCACATTCTGAAGTGTCATACTCGGGTTGGTTGCATGTTGGGGGGAAGTATTTCTGGTTTTTTGCACAGCCCATGATCCTCTTAATATGGACATTTTCTTGCCATACATATGGAAAGCCAATCTTGAATTTGGCTTCTGTAGTTATTCCTTATCTTGTTATAGTGGCTTTTTCTGAGCAGAGTGGATTTAATACATGATCCTGGTGGAGGGTCTCGGTATAGTCATCTTAAAACTATGCTATCAAGGAAATTCAGTTACTGTTGTGGTAAAGCTGCTCACTGCCTACTTAATTGTAAAAGCACCACAATAAAAATAAGATTCCAGTGTCAGTGAAATCTTAAATTCAGTACTAGCTAAGAGAAGAAATACCCTTACTATCTGCTTTGTTGTTTTTGTTTTTTTTTAACCTAGGCCAGAGTAAATACTGTATATTGGAATTTGCTTGTAAAGTTGATTTAAAAAACCTGTATGTAAAAATTCTTTCCTCAATGTTGCTCTAGTGAATAAAAATAAAAGAAATAAAAGTAATAATTCTAATAAGTATCTTGTTTCTCCTGACTGTTCACTTGTATATTTAAGTCATTGTGCAGAATTATAGGACTGTAGACAGCAAATTTTGGGGGAGGGGGAGGTAATGCTTATGCTTTGTGTTTTCTTATGGGATTGTCTTTCTCCAACAGACATGCAGGCTTTTAGCATGAGACTTTTTTTATTAAAGAAAAAAGAAAAGGAAAAAAGAGAGATGTAGAAAAGCTAAATATTTTAATGCAGTTTCCAGATGAACAAGAACTGATATGACTAGTTTTAAAAGTTATTTCACCTGTAATGCACAGGTGAGTATTTCATGGTTTTATGTGATTAACTAGTTAAAAGTATCTTTAAGAGATTACTTTGTGAGAGTTATTTCCCCAGAGGAAATGTGTTGTGTACATGTCAACATTCATAAAAGCTCCTAATTGTATATCAATATTTTGCCCATAGTTTGAATGCTTTATTATTCTTTAGAAACAGGGAGTGTTAAAATCTCAATCAGAATTTGGAGA